GCAGACCAGTCATCTATCCTGGACAACTGTGATTTGATTCCTTGCTGAGGAGCCTCTGCCTCCCTTTGCCCTGAACGGTCTCGATTCCTCGGCGGCCACTTTTGTTCCTGGTAGTGTTTTTCCTTCAAATATAAAGGAATTCCTTACTTCTGCTTAAAGCTCTCCAAATCTCTTCTGCACTTTAGTTTTTGTTTGGTTTAGTTTAAGAAGGTTTTGTTGATTGTTTTACTTGGGGGATGGGTTGCAAGTAATCTAAGCTAGTTTTAAACCCCCAATCCTCCTCCCTTCACCTCTCAAGCACTGGAATTAGGGGCAACTTGCATCATGCCCAGGAAAATACTCATGCACCTTTTGGAATATAGCCCAGTGTCATAACCATGGCTTTCAATGAATAACCCCCCACCCATGATCTGCCCCTCCCACCTCCCTGCTTACTATGGCTACAGTCATAGGGAACTCCCTTTATTTCCTAAAATCTATCAAAAGTGGCTCAGTCAGGCCCTCTGCATTTGCTGGTCCCTCCACCCAGAGCTGCTCCCCATATAACCACATATTAGATTCTTTTGTTTTAGTTTCTGATGAAAAGTAATCTTATTAGAGACACCTTTTCCAACTCCCCTCTTTATAGAGACCACATCCCTCTCTATTTCTTTACCTTATTTAAGTTTTTATCTGAGTACTAACCACCGCTGGCACAGAGAGTTGGTGCCTCGCTTGCTCTGGTCTCTATCTGTACCCTGTAGATTGTAATCTCCATGACAGCCAAGTCTTTGTTTCATCCTCTGCTCTAATTCTAGAGAACACGGCAATACACAATGCATGTTTAATTAGTATCTGATGAATAAATGAATGTTTTCAATATCACCTTATCAAACACCATGGATGGACCATGTATCTGCCTTTTAGAGTAAATAATTTCTGGGTAGTAAATACCATTCTCAGAAAGCTATTTTCCATCCTTTGCTTAAGACTTATAGTTGGTCAAAATGTCATTGGCACAATATATAGATTTTAAAGGCTGGTAGCCTTATAAAATCTGTCCTTTGGCTGAAAGTGATACTGTCTCTTCCTGTCATTTTTGGCATATGGGTAGAATATTTCACTCATATGATTTTGTTTAAATCATTGTTAACATTTCACTGGTAGAAATTTTTTAAAACGTCAAAGTATGGGGGCTGGAGAGATGGCTTAGCGGTTAAGAGCACTGGCTGTTCTTCCAGAGGGCCCAGGTCCGATACCCAGCACCCACATGGCAGCTAACAGCTGTCTATAATTCCAGTTCCAGGGAATCCGATGCTCCCTTCTGACTTCCATGGACATTACATGATACAGATACACTTAAACACATTCAGGCAATAACTCATACACATGAAATAAAAATAATGAATAATAGATTTAGAAAGAAAGAGGTAGAAGAGCTAAAACGCACAAACTGAAGGTAAAATGATTGGGATGATGAAGAAGCTAAGACACATGACCTGGCATACAAGGTCTGATAAAACACACCGTCCTCATAGCAACATAGCTGCATCTTTCAATAACAGTAATAGAAGTTCCATCCTGAGAACAGAGTAGAAATAAATGCAGTAAATCACTACAAAATTGACAGATAAAATATCCTGCAACCTGTGAAGGAAAAGTCTTGAGGTTGGTGGACAGAAACAAGTGATCGACACCAGCACACGGGTGTCAGGCTTCCAAACTCTTTACAAATTAGATTCCTTTAATTAGAAAAAGCAAAATAGAATTTTGTCATTTCTTTTCTGTATGCTTTTCCATCCTTTTACTTCACTTGCTTAATTCGCATGTTTGTCTTAAATACAAATTGCTCAGTATTACCTTTTCACAATGACCTAGAATATAAGCTTGAGTACTGATGCAATGCTTGTGTTAAGCAATTTTCTGTTACTATGGCAAAATACCTAGTTTGATTAATTTGTAAAGAAAATGGGTTATTTTTAATCAATAATTTGGAAACTTTTGTTTTATTTGGGGTTTGGGTATTTTTGTTTGTTTGTTTGTTTGTTTTAGACAGGGTCTCATGTAGCCCAGTGTGGCCTCAAATTCAGTTCTAATCGTGCTGCCCCCACCTTACCAGTGCTGAGATCACATGCACTGCCACACCCTTTGTATGTGATACTAGGAACTGACTGGGGGGGGGAGGGGCTGTATGCACGTTAGGCCATCACTCTAGCAACTTAACTATCACCTCTGCCTGGTTTTGGTGGTTCTGATTTGAGTTTAGATGGAGTCATTGTTTGGGCTTCTGATGTGGATGCTAGGTGGCAATGGTAGAGGGCACATGGGAGAGCACACTGCTTTCTCATTACCCAGTTAGCAAAAGGGAAGAGGGAGAAAAATTTGTCTCACAGTTCCCTTGGAAGGAGTGGCCAGCTACCTAGGGACCCCCTTTTGGGCTCCACATCCTTTCAGTGGTCCCATCACTTTCCCATAATGCCACCCTGGTGACAAATCTGTGGCACACAGTCCTTTGGAGGACATACCACATCCAAACTGTGGCAATGCTCATTTAAAAAGTAATCATGAATATCTAGCATGGATTTCTAAGTCAGTGTATACTTATAGACTTACCAGACTCGGTGGTGTCTATAACCTGGGCATGCTTCTAGAACATTGTAACAGTTGCTGTCACTTCAGACAGTAATCATATAAACAGGGAAATGTCATTTTCCATATTCTGATTTCAAGATGATTCCAAAAAGTTCAGAAATAATAAGATCATCTGTCAAGTTCAGGAAATAGCTTTTCATAATACGATAACGTCATGGGAACAAGTAATCCGTGCTGTGTTGGTTGTAGCTTTCCTCCATTTTGGCTTCCTTTTTATTTCTATGCTGTTTACTATGGCTAATATACTAATGTTAGATCAAGTGTATTCTTTAAATTTTAAAGCTGTGTGTGTGTGTATGTGTGTATGTGTGTGTGTGTGTGTGTGCAGGTGTGTGTATGTGTGTGTATACAGGTATGTGTGTGTATCTGTATATGTGTGTCTTTGTATGTGTCTCTGCATGTGTTTAGTGTATCTGTGTCAGTCTGTGTGTGTGTCTGTATCTCTGTATATATCTGTGTGTGTCTGTATGTGTATGTATCTTTGTGTGTCTGTGTATGTGTGTCATTGTGTGTCTTTGTGCCTGTATGTGTCTGTCTATGTCTCTGTGTGTCATATGTGCATCTGTGTGTATGTCTAGCTGTGTCTGTGTGCCTGTGCATATGTGTGTGTATCTGTGTGTAGATGCATGGTGTATACCACAGTGTATGTGTGTGTGTGTGTGTGTGTGTGTGTGTGTGTGTGTGGTGTTTGGGTGTATACCACAGTGTATGTGTGTGTGTTTGGTGTATACCACATAGAGGTCAGAGGACAACTTTTAAAGAGTCAGTTCTCTCCTTGCATTTTTTTTGAGGCAGGGTCTCTTTCGTTTCACAGCAGTCCTTTTGTGTGCCCCATCTCCATGTGGGAGTGCTGGGATTATAGGCACATGCCACTGCATCTGCAATTTAAAAAACCCAAAAACCCAGATTTATTCTAGGAATAAAACTCAGGTTGTCAGGCTTGTGTGGCAACTGCTTTCACCATGGAGCCATCTCCCTCGCCTGGTCTCCCAATTTTGTAAATGGCGTATCCACGGATGACCCATATCCTCTTGTACCTGAAGAGGTTTGATGCAATGGTCCTTCCCTTTTTCTTTTTTCTTCCTTTTTTTATTGAATATGGTCTCACTCCCATTATGTGTTTTGATTTGTTTTGTGTTTTGTTTTGTTCTGTTCTGATTTGAGACAGAGTCTCCTTGTAGCTCCAGCTGGCCTGGTACTCATTATGAAGACCAGACTAGCCTGGATCTCATAGAGATTTGCCTAGGTCTTCTTCATGAGTGCTGGGATTAAAGTCATTCACTCATACCAATTTTTAAATATATGAAACTGGTAGTGAAAAAAAATATTTCTGTTTCAGTGAATATTTTCTAAATCCAGGAGAAGAGTCACAAAAAATATTTTCTCATTTGTACTGAAAAATCACTTGTCATATAGTATCAATTTTTCCTGGGTCTTATCTGCAGAGGTCAGAAGTGTATGTGTGTGTGTGTGTGTGTGTGTGTGTGTGTGTGTGTGTGTGTGTATTATATCCAGATCTAATTTCCTAAGATTCAAATTCTAGGACCCAGGGATTAGTTGGCCTCTCTTGCCAGGGGCTTGGAGAAGAGTAGAGCTCACAAGCTAGGAGGCCACTTTGATGTCCTCAGACTGTCCCCTGCTTGGCTGGAGCTGGCCCTTCCTGAGGTCTATGTCAGCTCTCAAAAGAAGGGGCCAGGTGGTTTGGGTTTTGTTTTTTTAAATAAAATATATATGAAAAAAGATTCAAATTTAGGTTTTGAGACCTCGAGACATCCCAGAAGACCTTATAAGGTTTTCCCCAGGAGGCTTCCATTAGGGCAGTCAAGCTCAGCATGCAGTACCACACCCCCAACTATACATTCAAGCAGTCATTATATTACAGGATTAATATAGTCTTCGTGATGATATGATTAAATATATATTATGCCATGCATTTATTTTTTAAGGTGTTGTGTCTATTAGACTATTCATAAAAAAGGCTTTTAAATTCTATAAAATTAAATATAAAAGCCATTCAGGAAAACCAATAATAAGAGAAGAGAATCTATCATGGAATTACAGCTGGCACAATCCACAGAGTTCCTGTGTGAGCCACAATTTTGTAGCTCATAGCATCAATTATATTTTCTGAGAATCCATTTCTATCACTATCAAGTCACCAGGAGGTCTCTTGTCACGTTGACTCATAGATAATGCGAAAATGGTACAATTCTGAGGTTATTGTGTCTCTCTTCTGTGGTGTTCCCCATTTCCCCCTCTTATCTGTCAACTCCATCCCCCAATTGTGTCCATTAAACAAGGTGGACTCACACCCCATCTCTGAGGACTGTTGAAGTCTAACGTATAGCAATCTCCTTTATCTTTTCCAGATCCCTGTCTTGGTCACCCAGATAAGTTCAACCAATCATCCAGTGAAAGTTGGGCTGTCTGATGCATTTGTCGTTGTCCACAGGATCCAACAAATCCCCAGTAGGTAGAAGAAGGGTAACTGAAAATGTGAGCCTTCTCTGAGGGTAAATTCTAAGGACACTGTTCTCAAACAGGTGAAGAGAAGACAGACTCACCTGGCAAAGTGATGCTTCTTAATTCTACATGTGGTTGATAGTAATAAATCCTGTGGGGTTTGTCTATCTCCATTACTCCTGAACTAATAAACTTAGGGAAGGAGACATGACATGACCCATCTGAGATTAATTGGCTCCAGCCAATTTTGGAAGCTTTGGGATACTTTGTTTTTTGAGCAGAGAGTTCTTCTATGAATAAAGTATAAAACTGTGATAGATTCCAGGCATGGTAATGCGTCCCAGCATTCGGGAAGCAGAAGCAGGCAGATCTCTGTGAGTTTGATGCCAGCCTGATCTATACAGCCAGTTTCAGGCCTGACTCAAACAAACAAACAAACAAACAAACAAACAAAAAATTCAAACACACAAACAAAATCCCAATAATGGTTTGACAGGCTATAAATTCTCCATGTTCATTTATTTATTTTAAATAACTTATGAGAAAATAGAATCTTTGTGCAAATTTATAATATAACACATCTGTTCCAACTGCAGTGTAAAATAAAATTGAAAGGAAAATTCAGGCTCGTAAAAACTAGGTGAAACTATACCTGAAGGAGAAGACGTGTGTTTCTCTTTTTTGTTCATGTTCTTTTGGTGATGTAGTTTACACTTTGTAGATTAAGAAAACACTTACTGCTTTGCACACTCATTAATTTAGCAAATTCAGGTGCTGCTGTGGATATACTCCCAGGGGAGCATATGTTTGCCATGGAGACCCTGGGTTCATCCCAGCACCAAGGAAAAGGAAAAGGGGGAAAGAATGCTAACTGTTTTGTGCAGTTCTGACCATGTAAATAGCTTCCTTCTGAGAGTTTCTGATTTTTAAACCTCCTTTACTTCCAAGTAACCTCGAAGAAAAGTCCGTCGGAGTGCTAATCCTGAGAGTGTCTGATTGCTTCTTAAATGTATTTATATAAAGCCAGGGGTAATAGTAAAGTTCATCTAGAGAGCGGATCATTTCTTTCCCTTCTGTTCAGGTTCTTCCTTTATTTCATCATAGGGATAGACTTAATTTATCACATGCACAAGCTGTTTGGGATTCACTTTAATTGACTGTACTTAATTAATGTCATCTCTCAATTACAAGAAGTAAATGGAGTGGAAACTAGACTTTTCGGGGCAATGGATCAGATGGTAACAGTCTAAGGCTTATCTTACAATAGAATGACATTTATACATGGCGATTCTGGTGTTGAAGAGTGTACATTCCCTCCACTGGGTTCCTCTTTGTTATCTGAGAAATTGTGGTGGGTAATATTTAAGGGAATTGTTCAATCAAGGCAGATTTTCCAGAAACTTAATCGTACCAAGAACAAAGCAAAGACATATTAGTGTGTGTAGGCAACATAAAGGCTTCCTGACAGAACTCTTAAATAAGAAGCAGAGCCTGGGGAGAACCATGGTTGGCTTCTGTTTGAGGACGGCTGTTCCCACATCCTTCTTTCCAGAAGTGTTAAATTGGGCATGACTTGAGTCAGTTATTAAACAAGGAAAAGCAAACACTGGCTTTGGGTTGTTCCTTGCTTCTTTGCATCCCTGGGGGAATTGCATGTGCAGGTTTCCAAGATAGCATTTTATTCCACACTGCAGTTCTAATACATTATGTTTTTAGAGAATAAGACCCATCAAAGTGAAAAGTTTTTTTATATTCTATAAAAGCATTTTAATAGCTAAGTATTTTGTTCCTAGCCTCCCAATGATACAATTGGGCTTAGACTTTAGGATCCTGTATTCCAGTGTAGGAACTCTGGTTATGCCATGAAGGGATAATTTTAGGGGAAAGCATTCTTCAAAATGTAAATTTCATTAAATAAATTGGCAAAATCATATGAATCATGAGACCAGATTATTTCTGATGCTGGGGACTCAGCATTCATCTTACATGGTTGAGACTTAGAGTTCAAGCAGAGCTATTCTCTGCCACACCACAACCTTGCAGTGGCATTCACAGCTCCTGTTGACCTAACTCTTCAGTCCTGAGAAAAACAGCCAAGAAAAAATGAAGCCCCTTTTCCCTCTTCCTGACCTTGAGGACATATTGAAGCAAGAAAATTGGAATTCATGTGTTCTGCTTTAAAATTGCTGAGGAACAGAATTTTAATCTCCTTTAAGAATCTGTTCCCATGTTGCACAGTGATCATGATCCCCTGCATAAAAGAAGTATGGTTCCAGAGTTGGGGATTTAGCTCAGTGGGAGAGCGCTTGCCTAGCAAGTGCAAGGCCCTGGGTTCGGGCCTCAGCTCCCGGGGTGGGGGAGAAGTATGGTTCCATTTAATGCTCAGCTAAAAAGAAAAGAAAAGAAAAGCATACTGTTTATGGCAGAGATAAGGATAACCCAAAATTTGCATAATACAAGTTACAAATTTGATTTTTTTCCTGAGAAATAAGATGATTCCTAGAGATCAATATGTTATTCATTTGTGCTATCAAAACTTAGGTACTTAGATAAATATTTTAAAATTTTAGTCCCTTGCAGAATCATGTTCTCAACACTCACTATTAGGACTAGTCATTGTGTGGAATATGAATCCTGTATTTCTGTTCATGCTTTTTCCCACTGAGTGGATTTCGAGAACAACCGATTATTATCCTAAGCAATGGGCTGATTTCATCTCTTCTGTGAACCAAGGTGCATTGCATAGGGTCCTGTTCTCATAAGGTCAGTTTTCTCTTCTTTTAATCATTTTTGTTACATGGGCCATAGAACCCAGGCTTTGGTGTGTAATGTAGCCATGACAACATGGGAATGGGAACCCATGTTGGGAGCGAGTTCTGTCCCATGGGACCACCATTGCTATACCATTCTGAGGAGATTTGAAGCCTTGATTAAGCATTCAAAATGCGATAAGGCAGTTTTAATTTATTGATAAGAGTTCATGGAGCTAGAGATGGTCAGCAGTTAAAAGCACTTGCTGCTCTTGCAGATGACTAGAGTTCTATATGCAGCAGTCACCCCTGTCAGGTGCCTCACAAGCAGCTGTAACTTCAGTCCAGGGTATCCGCAGAGCCCCTATGCTGGCCTCTGTGGGCACTCAAATGCATGTACACAGTTACATGCAAAATACACAGATATAATAAATAATAAAATAAATATTAAAAATATTTTCCTTATTCATTCCTCATAGCATCAACAAGCCCCCTCATTTTTCAGTTTTTAAATGTTTCCAAAAGCAAATGATTTTAGTGTTAACTTTGAAAAATCAGGAAGGTAGTTTGTTTTTCTTTCAAAAAGGAGAAAAGTCTGATGGTCTAAGAGGTGAAATGTCAAAGGGAGTGTTGTTAGTGAACTTATGAATAGTCCTGCGGAATAAGGGAAAGTGTTTTGCTTTTCCAAAGGTAGAAGAGTTGTGGTGAAGTTACTTCCTAGTAGATAAGGACAGCGTCTCTGGACCTCATTCTCCCTAACCATGACAGTGTTTCTAAATACCTAGGCTGAAGATTTTTGTGTCTTTTTGTCTGTGCGTTTTTATGTCCCTAATCACTTTCTATTTTCCATAAAATGACTAGGTAAAAAATTTGGGAGCCGAAAGCACGGCATAGACCACCTGTTCCAATTCCCACAGATGCAGATATAAAAGGGGATCTACATACAATGACTTTGGATATTCAAATATCTCATGAATGTGAATATAGACATATTTACTGAGATTAGGAACATACTGTATTCTAGTTCCTTTCCACAGTGCACATAGGGTTCCTAGATACATGCACATTTTTCACTAGGACCATTTGCCTTCATCTGTTTCTCTCTCTTCCAATATAATATTTTCAATTTCATTTTTAACCCCTGGGGTAGTGATCATCTGACCTGCATCCAGCCTCACTGTTTCCCCGCCTGACTTAATGAGGAACGTGTTTCCTGCGAAACAAACAAACAAACAAACGAATAAAAAACAGAAAATCCAGATATGCTATGTGGTTCTAAAAATGTAAAACTCTGTCATTTTAGTAATGAAAAAGTGATTTTTTAAAAAAAATATTTTTATTTTATGTGTATGAGTGTTATGCCTGCATGTAGGTAAGTGCACCCTTGTCGAGCAATGCCACGGAGGTCAGAAAAGGCTGTCGGATCCCCTGGAACTGGATTTAAGGACAGTTGTTAGTTGCCATGTGGGTGCTAGGATTTGAACCCAGGTCTTCTGCAAAAACAGTTAGTGTTCTTAACCGTTGAGCCATCTCTCCAACCCCAGGAAAGCAATTTTAACACACACACACACATTAAGTTTTCACAGAAGCTTACCCATACAGCTGCTGAATTAACTGAAAATGGTCCACTACAAGTTATAAGTGACTGTGAATCCCTTATGATTCTTCAGTTTATGCTTCTCTCCAGCAATGTTATTTCATACTTAACAAATCTCTTCTCTCCAGTAACTGCTTTTTCAAAATTCTTTTTGTTTTTCATGCTGTATTGTGCCTTTCCTATGTTGGTTTTTGTGGATAAAATAACCTTAAAGAACTTTGAGTTTTGTTGATGGTATATGAAAAATACCTTGAGCTTTAATTTTCATAGTAATAATACCATAGACGAGCATACTGACCAAGAGATCTTCCTGCCCATCAGGTAGACTTGAACATGAGCTCAAAATTAGTTTCATGGGGCTAAGATACACTTGCATCATGGCTACTTAGCCTGAGTCACTGAATTTTTTAATTATATTTAATTAATTAATTTTTGATAGTCATCAAATTATAATTTTAATCAGAAGTCAGTAGTCTCACGTGGTTGTGGGTACAGTTTGGTCAGCACACCTATGAGAACACACACCCTTTAGGCACAGCCAGCTGGCCAGGAGGGAGGAGAAAAAAAGGAGAGTCTCATGAAATGGACCAAATCATTTATTACGTGGTCCTTCCCTTGTTTTACACATTGGGTCAGTAGCAGGTAATTCTCCTCCTTTG